CCCCAAAACCCCAAAACCCCAAAACCCCTCTTTCAATCCGTTTTTATGAATCTTAATTTTTACTAATTTCTAGTAATCAGCTTGATTTCTAATTTGGAATTTTGACAAGGATATTCCTAAGAAATCTTCATTGCTAGAAACAGCTGGATCAGCATATATAAACACTCTAGGAAGAACAGATCCCTTGGCGACGATCCCTTTGGTCTGATCTGGATAAGCCCAACTGGATTGGCAGCAGTATCAGTAATATTCTGTTCACAAAGAATCTGAAATCTTACATGAATCTTTATTTGCTAGCTTGGGTGTCATCAGATTTGTAAATAGCTTGCAGAATCTTGAACCTGACTTCCAAATTCTGAAGCAGATGGGATGAATTTAATAGCTCCTCACAGTTGCGAACTAAATTTTGGTACTTTAAACGATGCCTTGACTCAGTAGAGATCTCTTCAGTTTCAGTTTGATTCAGAGATGTATTGTTCAATAATTTAAAGAAACGTTCAGTATCTTCCTTTAAGTCCATAGTCTTAGCAGGTAAGGTGCTCAGCTTTAATTTAGACAAAAGATAGACTTGTTTTGCCTGAAATAAGTCGTCGTACTTAGCTCTATATGAATAAAGGAAAGTTATACTTGATAATCCTTTGGCTTTTGAGCTCCAGCTTTAGATTATGTATCTTTCTGTCTTTTAGTCTTACTTGCTCATGAGCCTTTTATTAGTAAGAAAAAGAGTACCTTTGAAACCTCATCTAATTTATCCTTGACTATTTTAATCTGAGCTCTTATAGACTTAATCTTATCCTCCTTCTCTTGAACTTTACCGCTACCTATGAAAAATTTCTTCCGATCCCTTTCCTCTCTATTCACTATAAAACCCCACTTAACAACCCTCAACCCTATAAAATCCCTCATATCCTTCCTTACACTCCTTTCCTCCCCCTTGGTCACCTCCATACACAGGCGGGAAGTAAAACTCAAGGTCTTCACCCTCTGTCCTTAAATCTGCCGGGTGTTCACCCCAATATCACCCATATCTTCCGTACATACATCACGGGAGGTCTCCACAGTTCTCTACGCATCTATAAATATATTTAAATTCTTGGCCAGCCAAGCAGGCAGCTTACAGGTAATCTTGGTATGTGAACTCCATTATGACTGGGGATTTTTAAGTTTATAAGGGGTGAGTGGGGTTTTGGGGTTTTGGGGTTTTGGGGTTTTGGGGTTTTGGGG